GAGCATGCTAGTAATGCACAGGGGGCGACCCCTCGACCGGGGGAGGGCGCCTTCGAAGGAGAAGGAAGTGTTGGGGGTGGAGGGAACAGGTCTTCCCCCGAGGSGACAGGTCRGCGTGGAAATGTCAGGCCAGYAGATGCTGCTAAGAACAGCGAGAGGTGGGGGGAGGAYGAGACAACAGTGTTGTGTCRGGCGYGGAACRAAGCGAAGGAGGTTTTGGGTSATGATACGGAGGCCATGRGGAGGGCACGTGCGAAGGCCGGCTTCTGGAAGATGGTTGCTRATCGTATGTGGGAGAAAGGTTTTAATCGTGATGAAGACCAGTGCAAAGGAAAGTTCCATCAAGTGATGGACTTCTACCGCAGGCTGAAGATCCACGAGAAGTGGTCTGTTCTCCCAAGCTATTGGGACATGAACCAGACGAAGCGCAAGAGATACAATGTGGACTTCGTTCTCAGGCGGTCGTGGTACGACGTCATCGACCCTGTGGAAAAGGACACAGACTCTATCAGCTTGTCACAGCTGCGGGATCCCGGAGCACAACAGGAAGGACGTGAAGAAGCTCAAGAAAAAGGGGAACTATCATACCAGCACGGAGGGGCTGAGCGAGGAAGCGGGCGGAGGTTCTTCAGGTGGGGCTGCAGGAGGGAACAGGGGAAGCACTTTTGACTCCACACTGGGCAAACGCAAAAGAGCAGCTAGTAATGCCCGTGAGACCACTATGAAGGCTGTCGCAGGAGCTATACGTGACCACACAATCGCTGTTACCCGATCCGACCGTGAGTGTGCAAAGATGCGGTGTGACGTCGCACGTGAGCTTGCAATCCAGCAGCTGGAGGTGCAGAGACAGACTGTGGACAAGGACATTCCAGCGCGTGAGAGGGTGGCATCCATAATGGGGGGGAAGGTCGAGAACGGATACATGGTCCTCGCTGACGCGATCCGCAGTCTGCGTAGCCCACGGAACCGTGGTGGATCGACTCAATCTGACTGTACGGACTCCGGGTAGCAGGATCGGAGTGGATATGCTGTGTTTTGATGTGTAGTGGGAAGTTGTAGG